GGGGGGGAGGGTGACATCAGCCCCTCGGCGGACCCGAGCGGTAAAGGTGGTGCAGTGGGGGAGGGGCGCGGCGAGTCGTGGCGCCCGGGGAGGGAGCGCGGCGGCCGCTGGGCGCGACTGGTGCGTTTCGGGCAGGACCGACTGTGCAGGGGCAGACGTGTCCTGGGCCCGGCCAGGCCGTGGAAGGAAGAGAAGGACAATCAAATAAAATAAGACACACACACACACACCCCGAGTGGACAGTTAGTACGCGCAGTGCTCAGTGAAGCCAAATGACACGTCATTTTACAGTATGACCTTTTTTTCCCCTTCCAGACTCGGCTTTTTGTAAAGCAGAGAAGAGAATTAATTGTACCAGCTGCCCCCCAGCAGCGCCCCCACACCCGTGCAGTAAACCATTACACACACACACACACACACACACAATTTTCCTGTTAGCCACATTGTGAGTGCTTTGTGGAAAAAGAAAAAAAAATTCACAAATCAGATAAAACTGGAAAATGACATTTGTCTGGAAATGGCTTCTTGGTCTTGAAATGGCGTTTTAAAAAAATTTGTCCTTTTCAAGGTGGGAGGGGGCATAGCTCTGTCAACGGAAGACTTCCCAGGTGGGGAGATGAAGAGACATTAATTAGTTGTCAAGTGACATTTGGTTGTTTGGTTTTTCTTCTCTTTTTTGATTGTGCTTTTTCCTCTTTGGCTAAAAAGGGGGGGGGGGCTTAGCCAGGGAAGATGGCCTTTCCTCCTTTTTTCTTTAAGGTGCTGCTTTGAGAAAGAACAAAACAGTCATTTCAAAAAAAAATTGTTGAAATGACCAGACGAATTACACAAGCATTAATTGGAATGGAAGTTTTCCACTTCCTTGGTAATTTGGCTATCTGAATAAATTTGTGAATGTGCTGCTAGGTTCAGTTCCAGTCCATGGTCACATTTCAACAAAAACGGCTTATCAAGAATAAAATGTAAAAGGCTGGTTTTTCTTTGTGGTGGTGTTTGGTTTGCTCTTTTTGGATGGGGCACGTCTTTGTTCTCTTGGGTCCAGATTAATAAAAGCAGAAAATCACTAAATCAAAACAAATCTCTTTGGTGTTTATGCATTTGCAATTTCAGTAATTAAATGGTACATATGTGGAGGTCCTGTCTAAAACTTCTAAAGCCACAATCATGCTATTTGAATATTGATGTCCACACGATTTGATTTCAAAGTATAAGCCTGGGAAAGTCTGGAATCTCCTGTGGATGCTGTCTTGCTATCTCAATACTAATTTAAGTCAAGTGTGATGCCAACAGCACCTTAGATTTCTAACACCTTTTGTGTAGTGATCACTAGTCTCCACTTAACTTGAGGCTGTTGCTCTGCATACGCCTGGCCTTGTTGGGGGCTTACCTTCTGAGGGGTCCTGGTCTGCACTGCAGCATTTTTGGCTAGGATTTATTGATAGCCTCTGGCACAGAAATCTGTACCCCTATCAGTGGCAACATTTTGCTTTTTAAAATCGTGACACTCACCAAGTAATACACCCAAAAGAGGAAACATAATGCCCCAAATCCTTTTTACTCCATCTTAATTTAATGGTCTGAAAATTAAGTGAATTACAGCACAAAAAGATAGCCCATTTCTCTAATTTCACAAATGTGGAAACTGAGGCACAGATCTGTCTGTGCCTGTAAAAAGCAGGTATTACACATCTTAATGCTCCTGAAAGAAAATATTGGAGATCCTGATTAACATTATGTATGTTGTCATTATGGACTCTCTTAATAGTGTCTTTTGTATTTTAATTTATGAAAGTTATGTTCATTAAAATAGGGGGTTTGCTTTGGAATCAGTGTTTTTGTGGAAACTAATTTTAACTTTTACAGATAATTGATTAAATCCTGAAGAAGCCAAGAGGAGGAGGATTGCTCTGCTAGCTGGACATTAAAACAAAAAAATGCAATTAAAAGTAAAAAGAAAAAGTGGGTAAAAACCACAGATTTGTGTGGGTGGAGGGCAGAAGAAAAACAGTTCACATAGGGATGATTTGTTGAGTGCATTTGCAAAAAAAAAGCAATCCTCCTTCTAGCTTTATGGTAATGTGTTTTTCCATAAATTGTTTTTTTTTTTTTAACAAATGAAAGGTGATTTAAAATGGATGCATGTGTTCCTACTACTCTTTCAGTTGAGGAGGACTGAGAACCTTTGAAATTCAGTGGTTTCCAGGAATATTTTTCCTTATGGTTAAAGTCTTGTCCTTTTATTATTCTTTACTATTGTTGCAGGTTTACCTAATGCTAATATGGTCTCAAATGCTGTATTTGATGTTAAAGTGTATTTTTTGAGAAGATATCAGATAATTGATGATTTTCCTTTCCCTTCTTTAACACTGTTGTACCCAGAGAGAATTTATCTTTAGAAAGACTCAGTTTGCAGGAGAAAGAAGGGGAAAGAAGTGGTTAGAATGTAATATTGTGGTTTTAGGGGTGGATTTTGAAGTAGCCCGAGGGGTGGGAAACCTGCGGGAAGGTTGCTGCAGTGTGTAAATGTTGGGGGCGTGCTGCGTCCGTACGTGCTGTGGAAGAGACTGCAGTGTCTGGGCATTGTTTGCGAATCCTGGGTATTTTAACCATGGGATATCTGACAAACAATGAATTATGTGGCTATATACATTCATGTGTACATTTTACCAGTGAATTGTCACATTTGAAGAATTTAGTGTCACAGTTTTAACTTCAATTTTCTTCCTCCCCCCTCAAATAACAAAATTGCATCATTCTCTTTGCCCCTTACCTTGAGCACCCACAATGTTTAAAACAGCCAAAAGGAAAAATTTTCAAAAACAACAACAGCAAAACAGACAACTGAAAACAGCAAAACCTTTAATTCTTGTTTGTTGTTCTGATGGTGAAATACTGCAGGGTAGACACTGAGTTGGATTTTTATTTCTCTCTTCATCGAAATGTCAAGGAAAATTGCGAGTCTATTGTGTTTGTTGTTGTGTGTTGCTTCTGTGGAAAAAAACCAAAAATCAAAAAACACCAAACAGAAGTTCTCTCTCTCCCTGCCCACTGTGTGAGATGCCTCTTTCTTAACCTGAGACTTACTTTCGTTTTCTAGGTGCTGGAGAATCTGGTAAAAGCACCATTGTGAAGCAGATGAGGATCCTGCATGTTAATGGGTTTAATGGAGAGTAAGTGTCAAATCTGTGTCAGGGCACTAAGAGTTACAAATTTCATACTAACCTTTAGGAAGTATAGGAGGTTTTAGGGCTGAGCAGCTAATTTCCACTTTTTTTTTTTCTAATTTACACATTGGAAAATCCAGGGGCAAGCTCTTCGGAGCTCGCTCCTTCACCATTAATCTTTGGTACAACAAATAATAATACTAATAACAGGAAAGCATGGGTGTTGGTGTAAAACATCGCCCTATCCCAGGAAGACATTCTTGGTTGTAGGAGGACAGCCTACAGCACCTGGCCCGGGGACAGTGTCTTGGAGACCAGGTTCCCCCACCACAGCCTGGCAGTCTGCTGCAGGGAGTCTCCAACATGGCTGACACAGCCTTGACCACCCTTGTCTGGCCAGTCCTGCCCTGTGCAGGATGTTTTAAACTCTTAGGGAAACATTGTTTCAATAATGTCCCTACATAACACAAAGTTGCATGTGACGGCCCTTGTTGACAATTTGACATTTTTTTGCCCCCTTTCAAATTAACATTATGGGCAAATAATTTAAAATAATTTATGAAATCAGTACTCCTGCCTAAAGAAATGAAGAAGCAGCATTAAAATGATGAAAAGGCTGGGAATTAGATATTGCCTGCTGGTTCCAGGGGCATTTTGCCTTTGAAACGACCTTCCGGGACTTGATGGTATAGGAGAATGTAGCAATACTTTTTCTAAAAAGAGAGGGAAATAACATATCTTAGAGATGTGAGGTTAGTATAGGGTCCTGCTTGCCATGAAAAACGTGAATCAACCAAAGGAACATTCAGTACATCAGGGAATGAATTCCTTTTTACCCCCAAGCCCCCAGATAGGCCCCATCCTTCATTGTCCTATGACAAAATATGTACAACAGAACAAGATATTTACTAGTCTGTTTTCACTCCCGGGAGGTGGTTATTCTCACTGTAGTGCAAACACCTGAAGGCGTTAGTCTGTAACAACCAACTAGTTATAGTTAGCAATCCCATTCCCTTTTTTAACCTGGATTCAATTGAAAATTTGTCCCTTGTATTCACTTCCATTTCAGAAGGTAGATTGAGGCAAGGTGTCATCGTTTAATTCCATTACACACCCACACCCTGCTAAGGAGCTAGAGACAACACAGAAATGAACTTTATTACCTTTCAGACTGCTAAAGGTGGTTCTTTATTGAAAATTCTAGAACTTGTTAGCTCAGATAATCCGAGGTTAAAAAAAGATGACATCACCCGTACAAATGGTCATTTTAATTTAGGATGCTTTTGGAGTTTAACCCTGAATCCAGAAAGATTAGTATGCAGAAAGGACAGGTGGGCTAGATCGGCAATTTTATGAATGATTCAGTGAGTTATCATACACCTAGTGCTATTAAGTGGGTCACCTTCACTCATCACAGACCACTTCTGAAATTCTTAATTTCTGATACGTCCTTTGGTAGAGAAAAATCTTGCATAAATCCCTCTGCCCCATAACTTGCAGGGAGTGCTGCTTCATGAGACTAGTTAAGCGAAAATAATTTGACCATGCACCCTCTAGATAAATATTTTGATTAAAGCTGGACATGGCTAACATTTTAAAAAGATGCAGCAGCCACTGTTTACCTTAGCTTGAGTCAGATGGAAGAGAAGTCATCCTTAAAATAATTCACTTGAAGTTTTATTACTCTACAGACTGCCCTAAAATTTAAAAATTTTTGCAGAAAAGGTTCTCCTCCCTAAATGACCCAGCCTAATGCAGACGAGGCTTCTAAACCAGAACTTCTCTTTTCTGTTTTCTTTTCAAAAAGAGGAAGCGCCATTCCCAGTTTACCTCCTTGTGGATCTCAGGGTGTTAAATTTAGCCTGTGAGAGTGACATACGGAGTATTCGTGGGGGTCAGATACCTCATTTTCACCTAGTCCGGCTAAACCTTCTCTCTCCTTTTTTCCTCTCTGTGGTATTGCAACAAACGCTGGTTTCACAATTCCCTGGTAAATTGTGACCTCTGTCCCTAAAGGGTGGTCTGCCTGGTGCGGGGCTTTTCTTCCCTCAGCTTTTCCCTGTCCTGCCTCACCACCCTGCACTTTGTTAGTTCTAGGCCGAGCTATTCAATTTGCCTTAACTGTCCACAGGCTGCCGTGCCAGTTACATTTTTCAAACTAACATCATATTAATTTGACCTTCAGAAATACAGAGGTCAAATATGGATTTTTCTAATTCAAAGCTAACTCTCTTTCTTACCTTTAATGCCAGAAAAATATCATCATTAACACTGGTTAAGCTAAGTTAATTCTAAAACAACATAGGCTTCTACCCTTTCATCTTCAAGGAGCAATTCCTACAATTTATGAAGATCAGGTTTGGTTTTTAATTGTTTTTTGATTTATTTATTTTGCTGCCTCAGAGTCCAAACAGTTGTAACTGATGACAATTTATAAACAAACACTGGATAGGTAGTTTCCCCCACTGCAAAAAGAGAGGTCATTTTTGCCCCAGGAAATCATAGGCACAAATCTCCAGTCTGTGCCTTTGCATGCACAGAACATTTTGAAGGTTCTGACCTGGGACAGTTAGGAGCCCTCTGGGCTGCCATATTCTCAAAAGAATTGTGCGATAAATCACTGTGCGGTAGCTCCCTAATGCATGTACATTTAGTGAAAGCACAAGAAAATAATTATCTGTCCCTCCTGTATCCGACCAGTCTCCAGAGGGCCCTGTTAATACTGCAGCAAAGGTGTGGAATTCTTCCCTCTACGGCCCGCCTGCAGTCTCAGTAGACGTTCTGATTTAGCCAGAAAGGCGACCTAAGAATTGACGGGAGGATGGCGCGCGAATTGTTACATTTGCTCTTGGCTGATTGTTTAGGAATGTGGAGAGGCTGTGTGGGGTTTGTGTGAAATTGCGGTGCCTTGCAGATTAGGTGAGCTTTCAATCTCTCTTTAAAAGGGGCGGCGAAGAGGACCCGCAAGCTGCAAGGAGCAACAGCGAAGGGTAGGCACATTCAAAACAGAAAAATTTTTTTAACAAACAAAACAAACATGAAGATCATGCTGGGAAACTGAGGACACAGACTCGGGAAGAAAATAAAAATCATTTAAGGGCCATCAGCCATCTTGGTATACGTTTGACGTGTAAACAATTTCTTAAGTAAAGTGCAAAACAATTTTGTTGGCCATACTTAAAATATAATTAGATCCAGCTGGGGGAAAGTTATAGATTTCAGCTTTAGATGATAATTTAGGATTTTGAGAATCGATGTTTTTCCATATGGTTTCTATTTTCCCCCAGTTCTCCGTTTGAATAAACTACTAGTTTCTAAAACTATCTACTAAATTCTATCTGCCAAGTGTTGGTCTGATTTTAAAATTTCAGACCTCTATGAAAAAAAAATTTTTCCTTCTATTAAAATATTCAGTGCCACACGGCTCTTAATTTTGAAAAATACCTTGGCACCTTGTGGCAGGTCATCATTAATCATCTCGAAGCCTCTGGCCTTTAAAAAATGGTGCAATTTATTATAATCCATAGCACTTTACATTACCTAGTGGATAAGGACATTCATGATGGCATCTTTTTTTTTCCCCATTCATTGTCATTTTTTCTTTTGTTTCCTGCATCGCCACATCCATCTCATGTGCGTACACACAGACACATGTGCACATGCATGCCAGGTGACCACTCCAGCTCCACTCGCATACTTAGCATGCAGGGATGGAGCAGCAGTTTCTCATGAGAACACAGGGCCATTGACTTAGCCTAGGGCATTTCAAAAGAATGGCTTCTGTGGCTGGGGAGAGGCGGGGCAAAGGATCCTGGGTCAGAACAAAGTAACTGACACATGTTTGTTCATCTGTTTCTTTTAGAATATATTATCCCTAGATGATGGCTACAGTTTCTCATCTTCCCGGCTCTGTCCTATCTCAATTTGCATGCTGGAATTGCTCGGTCTTAGGATCTTCTAATAAGAATACTATTCTGTTGTCTGGGGGGAGGGGGGAGGGGGAGGGAACCTACCTCTATCACCTCACCTTTAAAAATAACTAAAAAAACACAAACAAAAAACCTTCATTGGCAAAAATGTAGTAGAACAATAGTCAAAAAGCATCTATATAAAAAGTGACTAATTGATAATCATCTGTACCAGAAGTTGGCATCTGAGAACTAAGACATCCTATTGAGCAACCTACTGTGTACTAGATGTTGTGCTAAACCCTTGAGCCCTACTAATAACCTTGCCTGCACGTCTCTGTGATTCTGTCCTACAAGTAAATATAAATATTAACATTCCTGATAAATAAAACTCTCTGCATGTTTCAGCAATTCCTGTATCTTGAGTCTGTCTTCTGTCTTTCTTCTTTTGTCTGTCTCTCCCTACAAAAGCACAGAGATAAGGTACAGAACCAAATGAAACAAAGTACATATAGCCTTCTCCTATTTCTTAGTTGAAGAGGGGCAGGGCCCTTAAAAACTACTAACCCCACTAATCATATATATATATATATATATATATGGGTGGAGGGCACAGTGATGTCCTAAAAGTACTTCCAGCACCAACCTCAGCTTTTTGGGCAAATAGAATACTGGCAAGTGGCATATATTTTGCCTTTGTTGAGCAGTTTAGAGACATCTAAGGAATATTCTCCAAATTTTATGAACAACATTAAATTCATTAAGCGGTAGTACAACTGATGATAAACCTGCCAACCCCCGGTATAATATCTCCATCTACAGAGTAATTGCTTCAATGGAAGAATTTTATGTTTTAGTATTACCCGAATTAGATTTTAGATTTCTATTTTAGCTGTTTTATACTTGATATACTCCCACACCTATTCACATACGTAGATGAATACTGAACACGTTCTCAAAATATCTGTATTTTAAGACTGGAAGTTTTCCAATTATCATACTACTACTTAGACCAAAATATCAAACTGAATGAAAGAATCTCATTTCTGGAAATACTTTTTCCTTGCTGTATGTGAATTCGAGGATTTAACACCCAGGCATAGCTCATTTTTCTATTGGGGGGACTTAGAACTATAGGCTCAGGGCTGTGGGTACCAATGGCATGGAGCTGTTTTTAATGTGGGAATAAATTTGTCCTAGGGGAGTTCAGAAAAATTCTGAAAGCGTGAACTTCAGGGACAACAGACACATGTCCTTTTAATCTCTAACATCTAAATAATTTTAACACTAACATCAAGGCTGGAAATTTTTAATTCCAGAAATGAGCTTCAATCACCTACATTCAAAGCATAACAGGCCTGCTGAGGGTCAGGGGTTTCAAGCGCCTTAAATGTAGGGTGGCCGAGCTGGGAGGGCCTGGGGGCCAGAGGCTGCTTTCAGATCTGGGGTGAATGCCACCCTCAGGGTCTGGACACACCCTCTACCATCTCTACCCCGAAACTGGATTCCACTCTGTGCTGTTACTCCAGTTCCTGAAGAACTGGTACCGTCTGTCTTGCCACCCCCTGCACTCCCCCCAGATGGCAACGATCCCTGTAGGCTGCTGCCCCTAACCTGCACAAACACTATTAAGGGCCACTGAAGAGAGAGGCTCCACGCTAAGGGAAAGAGCATCCAGAAGACGAGGACCCCCTCCCCAAATACACAGATGCTTATTTGGGCAGAATAAAATGCCCAGGAACTCTGAACTGTTACAGTTCTTCAGAAAAGGCAAGAACAGGTTGTGTGGGGCTGCATTCATGAACGCTCCCCGCCCCCTCAGGCCCACCTGTGTGCCCCTCCCTCTCCGGCACCTGCTGCACCACTAACTGCCTGGCCTGGCCGCAGTAGCTATCGATCCCCCTTTGCATTTCCTCTGCCTTGATCTTCTGTCCTGCTCTCCTACAGAGGGCCTGTTTAATTTCTGTCTTCATTCGGTGACTTGGTAAATCAACCAAGTGAATGCTTCCGAAATTGGGAATGTCGGGGTTTTTAAAAAAATCACAAACAAAAAGCAGCCCGCCCCCCGCTTGCCCCCTGCCCAGGACTCCCTGTCAGCCCGTGCCCTGTGGGAGGCATGGCACCTCCCCTAGATGGCGTGACGTGTCCCAGGCTTCGCAGCCAGCAGGCGCTGTGCTCGTGGTTTCCTCCACCTGGTCAAAATGAGGGCAAGGTTTGGGCCGCACGTGACAAGATCTGTACCCCAAGGAAGAGGTGCTTCGTTGCCCCCCACAGCTGTGCCGCTAATGAAGGCCGTTTTCTAGAACACACAAAGCGTTTAGATCACTGTCATCTACTGCAGAAATGAACGTACTGGCGGGACCTCAGCAGACAAGGGTTTCGCCTTTATCAGTGAGCCAGTGATTCTGAACATAAATCACTCCATAAAGAACACACCGGCTGTCCTGTGTGCGCCATAGAATCAAAAGTAGAAAAAAGCAACAAGACCTCAGCCTACTTAAAAGGGACCTGACGCCCCTCTCTGTCATTAGAATTTCTTGGCGGGGGAGGGGGGGGTCTTTATTCCTAATCTCACTGAAGGACCAGTGTGCATCAAATTGTAAACCAGAAACACTGCTAGTGCATTACTCAAAATAGCATCTCCGTCACGGAAGCACAACTGTTTAAATAAATAATAGGGCTGCAAATAGGACTGCAAAGCCCTGGAATATGTAATTAATGATTTTAACACCACCACTGGCATGGACTGGTTCTCAGTATGCTAATCTAGCAAGGGAGTGAGTAACCAGTCCAATCCTATAAGGACCGATCGCCCCCAGCCCAGTAGGGTTACTGATAAGGGCCAAGCAGAAGCCTTTTAGGGATGTTCGTGTGTGGTACAGGGGCTTCAAACCACCAGTAGGACCACATCTGGAATAGCAAAGGAACCAGGTGTAATTTCTGGTACAGTTGATCATGATCTCAATGCCACTTTGCTAATCTGCCCTGTTGGGGTGACCTCAGGATGCATTTGGGAAGCTGTAATTGATTCACGTACCTCTAATCTCCGTACAGATCTGAACCCACAACTCCTTGAAGAACAGAATACTATGCTTTTTAGTTGGAGAATCTTGATTAAGGTGACACTCCTGGTGGGCAGCATGCAATATGATTTTTTTTTCTTTTCAATCCCACTGTAGTGAGAAGGCCACCAAAGTACAGGACATCAAAAACAACCTGAAGGAGGCTATTGAAGTACGTGCCTGCTCCTTGCTCTCTGACTTTTAGCACCCCCACACAGTGCCATTCCCCTGATGGCTTTGCTAAATCGTTTGCAGACCATTGTGGCCGCCATGAGCAACCTGGTGCCCCCCGTGGAGCTGGCCAACCCTGAGAACCAGTTCAGAGTGGACTACATTCTGAGCGTGATGAACGTGCCCGACTTTGACTTCCCGCCTGTAAGCCACAGCCCTACCTCAGCAGTAGTGTGAGCCTGAGGGGCCCTCAGTGACACCCCCCTGCCCCGCCCCACAGGCTCGAGTGCAGCCAAATACAGCCACAAAATGGCTACTTAGGGTGGTGCTAATTCCATACATATCCTGATGATTTTTTAAAAAGGGAAAAAAACTAAGGGCTTTTTCAAGGTGGATTAGCAAAATTCTATCACCCCTTGTAAACTGTGGCTCACCCACCCCACATAGAAACATCACACCTTAATAATAGTATTCTCACTTTATTAGACTGTAAACATTTATGAGGGGAAAAGTCCTGAGCTCTGACAGACTTAATTATTCCCTCCTTGACATCCTCATCCATGTGTTAGGACAACCAGAACTGCATGTTACACATGGCATGTTTATACATTTGTTTATACATACACAAAACGCCAAGGAAGATATTTGCATTTTAAACCAGTTCCCTTTTAAGATTTTTTGAAGATTTTTCTAAAATCAGTCCTTGCATGGGGCAAATAAAGACATCTTTTCTCATTGTTAAAAAAAATTTTTTTAAACCTACATTATAACTCCAGAATAAATTATAAAATAGAATATCAAAATTAAAATTGTCTTCCATGCACTCTCTAAGTGTGTAACACATTGAGGAAGGTCTGTCAGCTGCCTAAACAGTTATTTTCAGGCAACACCAAACTGCCCAAGGCCGAGCATATACATTTTGGCCTTTTTGGTGGGGGGTAAATTTTTTGAGGGGTACGGAATACAAGATGGAAAGACATACACATTTATAAGGCTCAGAAGGAAGAGACTTGTCTACAGCTAAAACAATGAGTTATTGTTGCCTTTGTAATGGCTTTCATGGGAATTTGGGTTGGTGTATTTTAAAGGGGTTTGGCTGCAAACTTATATTAACAAGGAAGTAGTATTAATTAGTATAAGTAGGTATTTTTTTTTTTTTTTTTTTGTGGTACCGGGGATCGAATTCGGGTCCTTATGCTTGCACAGCAGGCGGCGAAACCATTGAGCTAAATCCCCGGCCCAAGTAGGTATGTTTTTTAAACTAGGAATTGATTTTAAAAATTCAAGCAGTAAACACAAATATGAGTATAGACCTTAACTTTCTATGATTCTGTATTTCTAGTGAAGACAAATGGCAGCTGTTCATACATCCCAAAAGTAACTTTCAGTCAGTCCCACCAACATCTGAACTTCACGTTTCTACCTACAACTCCCCATCATAATTTTTGGTAAAATTCAGATTTTCCTGGAAAGAAAAATGAGCCTCGGTGCCTTTTACTGATGAAGTTTCTTATTTTCACAATTGCTCATTGGTACAGTCAAATACAAATTAGAGTATATTCTTCCCATATGAAAGATCCTGGAAAGAAACAAAATTATCCAGTCATTTACTTCCTCCTACCCCCAGGATAAGGGAAAAACTATCCAAAACCACCAATTCACCATAAGAGAAAAAAAATATTTATGGTAACTTTTAAATATGCCCCACATATTGAGTGGAAGTTATATGTGACAGAGTGACTGTGGCTTGGCTTAAATGATGGTGCTGTGGATTTGGTGCGAGCTTTCCTGAACCTTCTTTCTTTGGTTCCCTTTCAGGAATTCTATGAGCATGCCAAGGCTCTGTGGGAGGATGAAGGGGTGCGAGCCTGCTACGAGCGCTCCAACGAGTACCAGCTGATCGACTGTGCCCAGTAGTAAGCAACCCCTCATCACTCAGCATCTGCACACAGCACAGGCGAAGGCGGAGAGCTCAGACACTGCAAGTTCCAGTAACTCTGCACAGAGCTCAGCCAGTTATCCCAGCAGTTAGAAAGCTCTAGTCAGATTCATTTGTTATAAAAACCACTTAATGGCACTTTTCAGTGCAGCGACACTATTTTATATAAGCAATACCTGTTAGAGAAAAATGATAAATTTCCTTCAATAAAGTGACATCCACAATTAATTAGTTTGAAGTAATTAATAGAAATGACCTGTAAGCATTTAGGGAAATTGGGTAGCTGTCACACTTTGGATAATGTAAAAATGTTATATTTTATTGCTGTGATTTAAAAACATAACAAAGAAGAACAGAAGAAAGAAAAACATGCCTTCCCCACTCCCTGGCAGTTAATTGCTTTGCTGTTTCTGCTATCAGGCAAGTAACTTTAGTAGCTGTCACAGTGCGCGTTACTAGGTTATGTCAACCTGGATAGAGTTAGTGTTTTCTTGACTTTTGAGCTGTCTCATACCTTATTTATTTCTTTACACCAAAGATGGTAAGTAGTCAGTGGGTTTTACATTTTAAGCTACATACCTGAGCAACACAGCACAGTATTTACAAATAAAAATGGGAGGAGGACAGGTAAGACTGGCAATAGCAGTGTGAGAGACACCTCTCCAAATTAAACCATAAAAGTAGGCAAGCTCGCCTCATAAGGATGTTGGAGAAAACGATTTAAATAACAAATTTTAGTGCACACCGCTGGCTGATGCCTAAGGTGCTACACCTGTGGCCTAAAACTGGCCCTCCCGCTGGGGGAGGGATTCCCAGCACCCTGCAAGGTCTCTCTTCCAGAGATGTATGCAACACCATACATCTGGAAAGTTGCCTTTTAAATACTTGATGACCTCCTCCATCCTGCACACAGTATAGGAAGCATATGATGGTCCGGGTCATAAAAATATTTAGAGAGCTCTTCTGTTTGCTGATGCTGCACACAGCAACTCAGTATATTCAAGAGCAGGAGTGTCTTATGTAATAGGGAAGGGTAGATAAAAAGGGTATCTCCAAATTTACACGAGTTGATGTGTCTGTGAAATCAATCACTATCTTTCCCTAGCCCTGCTTTCTCATGGGAAGTTGTCTGATTATTTTTAATTGTCACATACATAGGTAATCATGGTATAATACTCAAGCAAAGTTGCATATTCTTTCAAGGAGCAGAAAAATGGTCCATCGTGGCCCCCAGCCCCCACTCCTCCTTCAGCAAAGTCCCTGATTTTCTCCAAAGTTTGAACTGAAAGCTGGAAGCACTAATTATAGTAACGCAAAACAAATGGAAATCCTGGAATTGTTTGAGATTTGTATTTTGGATCCGAGTCAGGAATTAAGTACAGGTATGAGATTAGGAGGGTTTAATCATCCCAGTCATGAGTTCTGGGGGCAGGGGGAGGAACAATCTAATGAACAGTAATTTAGCCAGGTTCTTTTGGTTACGTCATTTAAAAGTTTCATTTTTCCTTGAAAAGCGATACGACGTCACTCCTGACACTTTATGTGAAAATGCACCATTAGCACAGATTTTAAGAAAAGTTTTAAGGAAGCCCCAAAAAAGAGAAGATGACTTCAAGCTTTTCAAGTGTCCTTCCCAGTCAGATGGTTAAGAATCCCTACATTTCTAGTTTTGACTGCCTCTATGTTGGGGTGGGGGTAATGGTCTAGTGCCTGTTTCTTAGGCTGCCTATTTTTATTTGTTGAGCTGGAGTTTGGTTGGCCCAGCTCCAGATGTCTTCTCACAAGATTTGGTGCTGAGGTTCTATTTATAGACCTGTGGTTCCGTTGCCATGGCAACATCCTGGAGGCCAGGGTGGCTGGGGAGCTATTTCTGGACCAGTGCTGTAATGTAAGATTGATTGGCCAAGTTAGTGTATCCTCTAGGCCCCACTAGTTCTGAACTGGTAAAAAGGAAGGGGAAAGGGAAAAATATTAAGAGATTTCTTTAAACAGGTTTTTTTGCACTTTGTGATTTTTGTGATTTTAGTGATTTTATTTTCTGATTAGCCCATATTAAAACAATTCCCATCTTCACCCCCTCCCCCAAAAAACAAACTGGTTTTCACATTAATTTTCCATACTAATTAAGTTTCCCCATTCTTGTCACATTCATTTTCCCCAATTATGTATCTATCTAGTCAAGCAACACAGGCCAGAAATAATCGTAAAGGTTTTTAATATCTGGCGTGTCCTGCTTCATAGGCCTGATGGATCGGAAGGGACTTCGTGTGTTTCCTGTTGGGGTGGCAAGGCCAAGAGGGGCCTCTGCTTTTGTTCTCCCTAATCAATGAGGTTCTTCAAAAGTGGAGAGGAAGGGCATATTCTGGATAACTAAAACAAGCTCATTTGCCCTTGAAGGAAAAGTCCTTGGTGCTTTTAAGGGTAGCACCTCACATATTTTTAAAGACCTGAGTGACATGGAGACAGGCAATTTTCAAACTATTGTCTGTTTTAGTTCAAGCCAGACAATTTGAAAATTAATATATTTTTGTCAGTCATTATCAAATGGCATAGGATCTGATCGGCCTGGTTTGAGGTCCTTGCTTTACTGGTTGATAGGCATAAAACCAATCTTTTAAAAATTGAAACGAAGAACAAAGCCCCATCCACATCCTGGGCTGTTTGCTTCGTCTCTGTGGGACAGTCACTTCCAGCTGGCCAGCGCCTGGAGAGGACACAGTGGACAAGGTGGTGCAGGCTCTGTCAACACTGTCACGTGTCTTCTCTTTCTCCAAGCTTTCTGGACAAGATCGATGTCATCAAGCAGGCCGACTACGTGCCCAGCGACCAGGTATGCAAACCTCGAGGGCAGAGGACTTAGAGTTCTCTGTCCAAGCTGCTCAAGATTTTCGCTCCAGATGGGTAATTATTTAGGTTGGTTTTATTGAGATCTGCTGACACACGGTTTGTAATAGGACCTGCTTCGCTGCCGTGTCCTGACCTCTGGAATCTTTGAGACCAAGTTCCAGGTGGACAAAGTCAACTTCCAGTAAGTGAATGGTTCTATTTTCATAAATCAGAGACATGGCTTCTTGACATGCTTTCTGGTGGTTAGAGTGGTGGCCCTCGGAGTAACCAGCTGTCCATTCTCCCTAACAGCATGTTCGATGTGGGCGGCCAGCGTGATGAACGGCGCAAATGGATCCAGTGCTTCAATGGTATGGATGCAATGGGTTTTGCTGCTCTGTTGTAATCATTAGGGAGCATTTCTGCTTCTAACACTGACTGCTTCTGCTTTCTTGCCATTCAGATGTGACTGCCATCATCTTCGTGGTGGCCAGCAGCAGCTACAACATGGTCATCCGGGAGGACAACCAGACCAACCGCCTGCAGGAGGCTCTGAACCTCTTCAAGAGCATCTGGAACAACAGGTGTGTGTTGTGCTTGCCCCTGCTTGGCCCGAGCCTTGTAACTGCTCTCGGGGCTCTGGTTTGCACTGTTCTAGAAAGGACTCCCAGGCCAGTCCTTAGGCAAACACCAGTTACTCCTTACACAAAGCGTGCTATCTTCTCCTGGGCATTGAACTTGCTTTCCCTCTCTGTTAGATGGCTGCGTACCATCTCTGTGATTCTGTTCCTCAATAAGCAAGATCTTCTCGCTGAGAAAGTCCTTGCTGGGAAATCGAAGATTGAGGACTACTTTCCAGAATTTGCTCGCTACACTACTCCTGAGGATGGTATGTGTGGCTTCCACTCAGGGTGCTAGTTCACTCAGGTGGTTCTTTTTCAAGAGAACTCCCAGTCCCCTTCCCTCCCCAAACTATAAAGGATCTATAGGGAAGGCAGAAAAATGTATTTCCACATGGAAATATCAAGAATTCTGAGAAGTTAAGGGACTGCAATGATGTTAGCACCCTGCTCTGCTCTAATCTTTACCTTAACTAATAAAATATTTACTTTTTTTGTAGCTACTCCCGAGCCCGGAGAGGACCCACGTGTGACCCGGGCCAAGTACTTCATTCGAGATGAGTTTCTGGTGAGTAGAACTGTCTGTAGTTCCCTCTTTTTTCTTACAAGTGTACATTTACTTCTGAACTTGGGGATTAAACTACACAGTCCTTCAGTTTTATCTCACCAGTCTCCAGCATGCGTCTTAGCCGCTGGCGCCATGGCATGGCCGTGCTCTTACATAACATTGGTAGTGGGTCTATACCTGTCCCCGGTGGGCTGACTGCAGGTCCTGGGCAGAGCCCTTGACGGAGCCTTGCCTCTCTGTCCACAGAGAATCAGCACTGCTAGTGGAGATGGGCGCCACTATTGCTATCCTCACTTTACCTGCGCTGTGGACACCGAGAACATTCGCCGTGTGTTCAACGACTGCCGCGACATCATCCAGCGCATGCACCTTCGTCAGTACGAGCTGCTCTAAGAAGGGAACCTAAATTTAATTAAAGCCTTAAGCACAATTAATTAAAAGTGAAACGTAATTGTACAAGCAGTTAATCACCCACCATAGGGCATGATTAACAAAGCAACCTTTCCTTTCCCCCCAGTGATTTTTGTGAAACCCCTTTTTCCCTTCAGCTTGCCTAGATGTTCCAAATTTAGACAGCTTAAGGCGGCCTGCAGAAAAAGAAAAAGGCCACAAAAGTTCCCTTCACTTTCAGGAACTAAAATAACAGCAGCAAACAGAAATAAATAAATAAATAAATAAATAAATGAATAAATAAATAAATAAATAAATGAAACAAAAAATGAAACAAATGAAATAAATATTGTGTTGTGCAGCATTAAAAAAATCAATAAAAATTAAATGTGAGCAAAGAATGATGTGATGCTCTTGTTATTTGCGGTTCCCAAGCTAATTCCATTGATCCTGGGTTCTACTTGGTCCTTGAATGCCACCTGCTGAGGTACGGGCCCCAGGATTGTAAGTTGGCCTAAAATCCTGCTTCTTGGTGACCTAATCTTTGGGACACCATGAAAAGTCTACCCCTTGTCCTTGCCACAAAGAATGCTGGGTGTTCATCACTGCTGCCCTCTGCAGTCTGCCAGCTTCACACTCACGTCATCACACAGTGTGCCCGTTTTACACAATCCCCCTCAGAAAGGTGTTGGGTTTTGTTATAAGATATGGACTAAATTATGTGGGTGAATTTATAAGTACAGTATCTCCAATCAGTGGAGTTATTAAAAAATGGTATTAAAACACCAGGCTTGTCATTTTGGGAAAAGGTGAAGCGAATCCCTACTTCATACCACACACCAGAATAAATTAGATGTGGATCTATCAAATACCTCTAAATTTCAAAGTTACTATTTATAAGTGGGTGTTTTTACAATTAAGATCTTGGTCTGTAGAAGACATCTCTAAATATGACTTAGACCCAAAAGCCATAAGGGGATGGGGATGACTACAAAAATGAAAGTCAACATAAAAATATGGGGGAGGAGTTTGGCAAAAATCTGCAACAATGGATTGATTTCTCTAAATATGCAAAGAGTTCTTATAAATAAGCAAAACCATCAAAAATAGTCATAAACATGCAATTTACTGAAAAATATATAAAACTAGTATCTCAGAAGATGTGGAACATCACTCATTAAAGAAATACAAATAGACTTCCGTTATAGTTGGAGGTGGGGTAATCAGCACTCACGGGACCCTTATTACACATGTTGAAGCCCAATTAACATGCAGCTTGAACCCAAGGTTCATACACAACTCTTAGTCATTCACCCCCAGGTTCATCCTTCATGATTGGTCACCCATGGTGTGGCGATCTGGAAGGTTGGGGAAAGAGACCAGTGTTGACTCCACCATCAACCACTGTGCCCTCTGAAAAAGGTCAAATAAGACATGAGTCATTTGTTCTGTAACCCAGGCCCAAAATCCACTTCCTGTCCTCCAAACCAAATTAATCCCAGCTAGATTCATCACACAGGAGAGCCCGTGGTGATTATGAGCCCCAAAGAGGTCTAAAGTAGTACCAAGTACACAAGTCCATGTCCATAAGCCTTCCCAGAGTCTATAGAGCATTCAGTCCACACTTAGGGTTAGGGATAATGTTGGAATTAAGTACCTCTATATCAGAGTATGGTTCTGATGGTTAGGGTTAGGGTTAGGGATAGTGTTGCAATATAAGTACCTGTATATTGGAGTATGGGTCTGATGGTTAGGGTTACAGTTAGGTTAGGGTTAGGGTTAGGTGTAAGTCTCAGAAGTCCCCCCAACCCCACCTATAAACATACAATCCAAGTAAAAATAGGAGCTTGTTATGCAAGTAAATCTAGAAGACCAGGCAACAAATTCCCATAATTCCTTAAACTCCCCCGCAAACTACAAATAAAAATAGGGGCTTGCTATGCAAATATATGCAGATCATTCCACAGATTCCCATAATTCCCAACTCGCCCCCGCAACAACTCACTAAAACCTGAGCTGCAGCAACCACATTCAACTTGGACCACTGCCACATACGAACACTCACCCAAGGAAAGGGTGTGCTGACTAGAAAACCGAGGTTGTTCACCCCATCCCACCTCTGCCATCCCCTATCACCTGTCCCAAGATGGCAACTCATCCGCCCCTCCTACACAGAAGTTCTGCAACCTCCACTACATAATCCGTATATGAATGTCATAGGATTAGAAAAATAGTCCTCAAAATAAAAAATTCCCAGGCCATGGGGCAATTGTGCCAAAGGAAAATGATACCCTAGACCCCCACCTTAATGGCCAACACAAGCAGAGACATCATGGCATCTTCCAGAAGGAGGGCAGTAAAGTCACAGTCATCAGGCACATCCTGTGTGACAGTCACTGCCCAGGGAGATAGGTTCAGTACTTCCTGTCCTCTCATCAATGAATCACAGAGGCTCACAGAGTCCCAGAGAAGCCCCAAGAGACATGACTAGTAAGCAAGGAAGATGGACTTCAACTTAGGTATCCTGCTGACATGGAACATGCAGGAAGACAGAGAACAAGGTCTCCTGGTATTCTGTCATGTTGCCAGGTACCAGGAACCCAGAACCTGTGGCCCCAGGGGAAATCGCATAGGGTACTATGGGATTCCATACCTCAATAGGAGACTGGGACCACCTTCTTTCATGGAGCAATGTTGAGCACACATCTGACTCTCAGCAGCTCTGGGCTTGGTCATGAGGACACTTCTAGTCACTTAGTTGTGTTTGAGACTTGTTTCTGTACCTTAGGAGTCATCCTCCCCAACAAAAACATTTTTTCCCTTTCCTTTTGACCAGAGTACCAAACAATGTTTTTTTAGAAAAATATTTACTGGTACATTTTAGATATACATAATGATCACATTTATCATAGGCAATTTGTACCAGTACATGATACATCTTGCTTTTTCCTCCCATTCCCTCCTCCCTTATGTACAAAACCTTTGTTTCCATTTTTTCCTACAATTTTCTTTTTTTTTCTTGTCCCTTCTATCTTTTTCCCCTCCCACCTCCCTTGTTTCCCTTCTCATTTGAACATTTTCTCCTCATTTCCCAATGTCTATTGTATATTGTCCTTATTTCAACTTTCGCTTTATCACACCAGAGAAACAATGTGGTATTTAAATGTGTGTGTCCGATTTATTTCACTTAAGAGTATGGGCTCAAGGTCCATTCGTTTAGCTAGAAATGTCTGAAGCTCATCTTTCTTTATGGCAGACTAGTACTCCATTGTATATAAAGACCCCCCACATCTTCTTTACCATTCGTCAGTTGATGGTTATTTGGGCTGTTTCCAAAATTTAGATATTGCAAATTGTGCTGCTATAAACATGGGTGTGCATATATCACTGTGGTATGATGCTTTTAATTCTTTTGGGAAGATACCAAGAAGGGGAATAGCTGGGTCAAATGGAACCTCTAGTTGTAATTCTTTGAGGAATCTCCACACTGATTTCCACAGTGGTTGCACCAGTCTGCACTCCCACCAACAGTGGAGAAGGGTTCCTCTTTCCCCACAGCCCCACCAGCATTTGTTATTGGCTGATTTCTTGATATTAGCTGTTCTTTCTGGAGAGAGATGGGATCTCAGCATTAATTTGCATCCCTTGAATGACCAGTGATGTTGAACATTTTTTTTCATATATTTATTTACCACTTCTACTCCTTCATCTGAAAAGTGTCTGCTCATTTCAGATGCCCATTTTTGGATTGGGTCTTTAAATGTGGGAGGTCTGATTTTTTTGAGTTCTTTATATCTTCTAGATATTGATCCTCTGTCTGAGGAACAGCTGGCAAAAATGTTTTCCCACACTGTGAGTTGTCTTTTCACTCCGTTGGTGGTTTCTCTTGTTGTGGAAACTCTTTTTAATGAGATCCCAGTTGTTGATTCTTTGTGATAGTTCCTGTGTGACTGAGGTTTTGTTTATAAAGTCTTTGCCTACACCAGTGTCTTCAAGAGTTCTACCTATTCTATCTTCCAGCAGATTAAATGTTTCTGTTTTAATATTTAGATCTTGGATCCATTTCGAGTTCAGTTTAGTGCATTGTGAATGATACGGATCTAGTTTTAATCTTTGGCAAGTGGAAAGCCAGTTTTTCCAGCACCATTTCTTAAAGAGGCTATCTTTCCTCCAGTGAGGGTGGTTGGCTCCTTTGTCAAAGGTAAGATACCTGAGTATCCAAACAATTTTTATAGGGCTATTTCAAAATTTAAATTCTAGATCCTGGGGGAGGGCATGTTTCATCTAAATCTTGGATTACAAAAAGCTATTATTTTTAAATTTTTAAGCTGAATTTTAAATCTCTATTTAAATACAATATATTTTTCTAAAGGTAACAATTTACACTTCATTAAATTGTGTAAGACAAATATTACAAATAACTAGTAATTGACCTTTGGAGACGGAAACAATAAACAACCCTTTAGGCCTCCTAAGAGTGTAAAGAAGGTCTAGAAATAGGCAAAATATTTTCAGCCTCCACTTTTATTTAAATTAGGGCAAAACTGTACCAGAAGAAATGACCACTTCTGCATAGCTCTCTATATCAGCGACATTCTTTTATTATGGCTTCTTTGATGGTTTTGATCATCTTTTCAATCAATAAATGCCCAGAGAACATAGAATCTGTGCCAGCCAATGGGAATTCACTCTTATGGGGAGACACCATATAATAAATAATCAAAAGAACTACAAGAAATGAAAAGAAAGGGCCTGATGGGGAATAGGAGAAACTTGAGAATTTCATTTTCAATAGAACAGTTGATAAGGGCCTCCTAAGGAGGTAAATTTTTTAATGGTAATATGAAGGATGAGAAGGAACTAACCATCCAAGCTAAAGTCTGTATTATTTTTAATTATTAAAACATATTAACATTTATAAGGTACTTTATGATAGGCCAGGTATAGGCCTAGGCCCTATATATGGATTATCTAAATTAATCTTTCAAAGCCCTACGAAGAGTACCCCATCACTTATACAACAGGCCCTACAATCTTCTATAAATTAGCTCAAATGTAAAGAGAATAAATTATATATATTGTGAATAATCTATGCAAACTATGCTTTTTAATAGGGTGACACTAAAACAGTATTACAATAAACATTTGAATTAATTGCTATTAGGTTCCCATTCTAGAGTAGAACTTTGTGTGTCTAGAATAACCTTCTTGCACTTAAACATTCATCCTCAAACAACTGGAGTTTTCTGGGCTTGCCAATCTTATTTACTGGATTGGTTAGGAATACATTCAGCTATAAAAGACAGAAAGCTGGCTT